CAAACTGTGAAACCTACTGCTCTCAAATTTACTAGCATTTTTAATTATAGCACTTTATCTAGGCGGAGTCTCATATCAAAAAAATATTGTATGATAGGGCACTTGTGTATTGAGCTACCACAGTATATCTAAGTTTGAAGTTAGCATTACCTTAGTTTACAAGGCCTGCATAATTTTAATAAGCAGTTCTTTTTTAACATCAAAATCGATTTAAGTTTAAAAAGAACTTAAAACAATATTTTATTTATAATAAAGTTAAACATGTATACTGCACACAATACATTTTTAAAATTTAAATTTCTACTTTAGATATAAAACTTTATTTTATTATGTTTTAGTTATTTAGACACATAATACACAAAACCAATGAAACAAATATATCCATTTAATGCTAAAAGATTGAGCGAAATGGTGTAAAATATTACATCTTATCATTATAAGGTGCAGGCCCATATATGCATCGTTGTCGCTTGTGTCTTAATCAATATTCTTTAACCATATACTTACAACGATTCCCAACTACATCCGCAACGTATAAGCGTGTAAAACGGTCAAGTGAACTAATCAGTTACTCTGTGTTTACATTGCTGCTTGTTAGAAAAGGTATTTTTAAATTAATAAAGAATATAAAGAAGTACAAACATGTTTTATAAAATGTTTTAACCTTGGGCATTAATTGACTTGAGCTTATAGAGCACGGGTTCCCAACCTGGAGGTCGCGAAGGGCCTTCTGGTGGTTTGCCAAATGGTATACTAAACCTAAGTAATGAGAAACAAAACATAAATATTTAGAAGAATGTCTGCGTGATTTACCAGTAAGCCCTTGTCATCAAGACTCCATTGCTAGTAACAGTCGTACATTATATTTAATCTGGAGCAAAGACATTATTATAGATCACGAGGTTCTGCTTTTTCACACTACAGTACGCTGGCTGTCAAACGAATTGTTGTGAATTGTGTTTTTGAAATGAAATCTGACATTAAATTGTTCTTGGAAGTGCAAAGGAAACAATACCTTTTGGTATACTTAAAACGACATAGAGTGGTTGGAGAGAGTATCATACCTAGGAGATATATTCAAACATCAACGTAAGCTCAACCTGAAGCTTCGGGGAAAATGAACGAGGATCATTACTTTCTATGATAATCTCGGGGCATTTTTATCAAAGCTGCAAAATTGGCGAATAAAATAAATCTTGGAAATGTTGTACATTTGAGAAACTCTGCAGTGTGGTAGATGAATCTGATTGTGAGATCATTAAAATTTTGAAAGAAGCGATTTCTGGGCGTCTTGAATCTCTTGAAAACGAACTGCGGCGCTATTTCTCTGAGCTGAAAGAAGAAGAATCTGCATTGACGCATTACCCATTCTCTACTTCCCTTGATGTTGCCAGCATTTCCGATGAATTACACGATGAATTATTTGATTTGCAGAATGATTCCGCCTAAGATGAAAAAACTGCTCACACAATTTTGGTGTATTATTCACCATTCATACCCAAACGTAAAATTGATTGACTTTTCGAGAATAGCCTTTCAACACTATTCTCTGATTTAAAAACAAAATTAAGAAATAAATTGAATGTTGATAATGACATAGGTTGGCGTTAACAATGACTTAACCGCGAATATTTAGTAAATAGCATGCAATTTTACTCATCGTATTAAAACAGTTATCAAGAGTAGTTCATATTGAAAATCTTCTAGAAAATCTTATTTTAGTGCTTATTAATTTCCATACTAAATTCGGCTTTTTAATTTTATGGGGGTCGCGGGTCACTTACCTCTATAAAAGGGGGTCGCCACTCGAAAAAGGTTGGTAACCACTGTTATAGAGGATGGTTGGCAGAGATGTAGGGAGGAAGAGATAGTCGGATCATCTCCACTTCGTTCGAGTAATCTCAACACTGTTAATGCTAAACCTTTTTGGAACATTAGCTTACAAACTTGATAGCGCTAAATGCTTCAAATTTTTGAAATTGAAATTGAAAGCAAGTCTGTCACCCCTACAGTTTACTAGCACATTAATATTATAATTTAATTAATTGGTCTTGATCATTCAAGTCTCTAGCTAGATAATTATACCAAATAAAGCAACCATTAAGTATAAGTAACTTTATATTATAAAAACTAAACTTTTGGAAGAAATTATGATGTTTACTTGTTAAAAGGACAAATAAAGCCAATGAAAGCAACCACTGTCCTAACACAACTATAAGTTATAAAGCTGAAATGTTCTATGAAATTTATGGTGTTTGATTTTATAAGAACTTTTCAAAATTAATGCTATAATTATTAGTGGTAACATTTCTTTTTAACTTAAAATTAGTTATTATTCATGAGTTAAGCTACACAAAAGCAAAGCCAAAGCTTGTGAGGACTGATACAGATTTACAATAGTAATATTTCTTTCTTACTTGTAGCCTACTTTCATTCATTTAAGATGGTTTACTTATACATAAATCTAATACAAAACATCTTAATATAAAACAAAATTTCAAAAATAGAAAAAAACAACCTGAAAATGCAAATGTGTAATTAAATGATGATTCAAGGGGTTTTTTTTTCCCTCGGCGTGGTGGGTGAGGGGGGGGGGGGACTGGGTGGAATTTGGGTTTTTAAGTAGAGCTAAAATAAATGTGTGATTACAGAGAATTAAAATGATACAAATTTTAAGCAATCGGAAAAGTTATATTATTACAACGAGACACATCAAAGCAAACATTCTTCCCTTTCAAACATCTATATCTATACAGTCCTCGAACAGTTTGTTTTATTAATTCAATTGTTTTAATTATTTAAATCAGTAATAATAATTTGTTTGATAGTTTTACACAGCATTAAAGACATGAACATCAATTGCATATATAATAATTAAAGGGAGAAAATAAAATGGCATGAGAACTAGACTTAAATAAGGTGTGCAAACTAGGTTTCTCTTGACTGCTTAGTTTACTGTGCTCCGTCCTTAGCTGCGGAGTCAAAAGTTTACATTGTAGTCATACATGGACAGAAATAGAAACGACCTTGGGAGAAGTGTCTCTGTAATACTCATACTGATCTATCATTCCAAAAATTTCCATGACATAAAATTAACCCTTGGCGATGAGGGAACGCTACCTTGAAATATCCTCCTGTCCGGTTGAGTGGGGGGAAGTGTGTGGGTGGGTGGGGGTGAGGTGTGTATCTCTTTCTACCATTCAGGTTGTGCACTTGTATAAAACCTGTGAAACAGAAGATTGTTCTAATGTTAATTTACTTGAGGGCTGATCGAGTGATGTTTGGTTTGAGACTGTCTAAATTAAAATTAATATTTTATTTATTGCTTTCCTGTATATTTTTTTCCCAGTTAAGTGAGAGTTCCCAGTCTATGTCTTAGCTTTGCTTGTAATATTTCTTTTAACTCGGTGTCCGTGTATGTTGTGAAAAATATATATGAATTTATTCTTAATTTGCCATACAGTCGATCTATAAATAGCCGTTGCTACTAGTCTGTTTTCTTCTTCTGTTCTTTGTCTAGTCGTGTTAATTAAATTAAGTGTGATTGCTTTTTTTGTTGTGGCTGTTTCATTTGTGGTTTTTAATATTTTCGCAAGTGTTTGCTTTGCTTTCTGTACTAATAAACAATCTAAATACATGTGTTTCTCAGTTTCTTGTGTATCTTGTGTTTGACATGTTATTTTAACATTTTGATTTGACTTTGTATTTCGTGAAACTGGAGTTGTATTAAAAATCAGTCTGTATGTCACTTCCCTTTCTTAGGTGTAATGCGTTCATTATGTAGGTTTCTTAATGTATCTTTAATGTCTATTATATTGTGTTCCCTGGTCCAACTAATTCTCGGGTATAAGGGTGTCGCTTGTTGTTTAATTAGGATGTCGTATATCTTTTTTTTGTATCTTCCCCAATAATGCTTTTGTTTCCTTGGAATATTTCTAGCGTTCCTTTATAAAAGCTGCCTATGTCATTTCCCCCATAGTGTGGTGTTATGATGTTTAATTTTAAAATGCCCTATGTAGTATTGTGCTAATGGATGATAATGTGGTTCTATCCTTATTCTATCCAGATGTTTTAATCGGAAGGTGTTTGTTTTAGTATGAATGTCGTGTAGCCCTATACCTCCATTTAATTTATTTTGTATTAAGGTTTTGTGGCTAAAGTTTCTAATAGTGTTTTTGAAAATAATCTCTCTTATGTGCTTGTTTGTTTTTTTTAATAAATGAGTTGGGTATTGTAGAGTTCGTTGCTACGAAAATTATTTTTGGAATGATATATCTGTTTACTAATGCAGCTCTGGCAAAAATGGTTGCAGTGCAGTATTGGTATTTTACCAGATTGTGATTTATTTTATTTTTCAGTGTGGCCCAATTTTCATGGTCGTTTTTTGTGGAATCGCTGGTATAGGTTATTTCATAAATTCTGAGTTTGTCAGTTATTGTTATGTCTATGTGATAATTATCTTTACCTTTCCATTTGCATATACCCATTACTTTTGATTATTCTGCGTTTATTTTTCCCCCGCTTCCTTTCTCAAAGTTGTTGAATTTGTATATTACAGTCTGTAATGCTTTTTCTGTTTGTACTAAGAAAGTAGTGTCGTCTGCGTATGCAAGTATTTTCTTGCCTACCGTGTTTGGAATGTACAGTCCTTTTTATCGAGTTGTCCTGTCTAATGTTTTCTAGTAGGGGTTCTAAGCTAAGGATGTATAAAAGGACAACCTTGTCTAACTGATTTCTGTATGTGAAAAGCGCTTGTAACACTGTTGTTTATTAATATATGACTATGTATTTCGACTTTTTTTTTTTTTTTTTTTTTTTTTTTTTTTTTTTTTACATTAAGATGTTTATTACAAGAACAGTACAAATGATGAGAACCATGATGAAGTGTACAACCTGACTATAAATATCTCAGTTTTCTCCTGAACATGATGATAAACACATTTTTACAATTTTGTGATTAAGTTCAAAATTAAAAGGAAAAAATATATATATAAATATATATAATAGAACTAAGCAGATTCAGTTGTTTCTGTGGTGCCATTCGATGATTCATTTGAGTCTGTCTTTGCCTTTTTCTTCGGACTTTCATCTTCTGCATCTTCACTTTCTTTTTCATCTACAGATCGCTTTTCTGCTGTTGTTTCTTCTGTTTTTGATTCTGTCTCTTCTGAGTTAGCATTTTCATTTGTATTTTCTTCTGAATCTTCTTTTTTTTTTGTGTTTTCTTCTGTTTGTTTTTCTGCTTCAGCATCAGCCTCATCAGCTTTGCCTTTCACATCTTCGACTGTCTTTGCTACAATTGGCTCTGTGGTCTCTTTTGTTTCTGACTCAACAGCAACATCATCCTTTGTTCCAGGCATTGTAAAATTGCGTGGTTTTCAGCGGACGACGATAGAAACGCTGTTGTTCCTTCCACGACAAAGAACGAGATGCGAACGAAACCCAGCCGCAGGCTTCACCCAGACTGTATGTATTTCGACTTGATTATTCAAGTCTCTAGATCAGGGGTCTCCAAACTTTTCAGCCCGAGGGCCGCATTAACTATCAAGTATAAGTTCGGGGGCCAGAGTTTCTTCCAGGCATCTCATTGGGGTGGCATTTTTCCTCAGCCACCTACAACAAACATTTTTTTCCGTGGACTAAAATATCTCCAAGGGCCGGATGAGATGACCTCGCGGGCCGCATCCGGCCCGCGGGCCGTAGTTTGGAGACCCCTGCTCTAGATAATTGTGAAACGTCGTGCACAATAACTAGAAAAATTTTATTATAAAGTAAATATGAAGTAAGAAATTTGTGGTGTTTAAATTTTGTTATAAAAAGTAAATATTTATTTGATATATTAATGGTAAGGCAGAATAATTATACCAGACTAAATAAATTAAAATTTGTTAGTTCTAAAACTGTTTTATTCTATTTCGATGTGTATTTTAGAAATACAAATTAATTTTATTAATTTTTATTTAGTATTACACCTAATAGGAGTTATGCTACACAAATACAAAGCCAAAAATAAATTCGCGCTACTTTAAAGTATTGCGCGCAATGGTGTGAAATCGTATATCAGAACTTCAAATTCATCATAAGTTTATTAAATATATCTCTGTTTTGTCCGTCTTGATCAAATTCTTGTTGCCTTAATTTTTTATCGATTCCCATCTATATCAGAAAGGTGTGATGGCGCCTTACAGTCCTTTTATATGATAATATGCGCAGTTTTTACATCGTTGGTAAAAGTTATATTTAAAAAAAAAATGTTATACCTAATTGCCACCAATAGGGCTGGTAAGTAGGTCACCAACCAGTTCTAAGGCTAATGCAGGTTTTATTGGGCCGTAGAACTGGTGTGTGACCTACTTACCAGACCTATTGAAGTATATGTAAGTAGCCTTTGGATAATAGTTGAGCACTGAAAGAATGTTGATCAAGAGGAATTACCAATGAACAAATAGATCAGCCTCTGGAGTAAAATGTGACAATAAGGAGATTATATATATATATATATATATATATATATATATATATATATATATATATATATATATATATATATATATATATATATATATATATATATATACAGGGTGGGGGACCCAGACATTTTTTTTAGTTCCGCCACTGACCGTAAGACGCGACCATACGTAGCTGATACAGGTAGGAAGTGATAAAATTATATGGAAACCAACATTTGATTAAGATGGAAAGGTGTATTGATCAAGAAGGATTACCAATGTACAAATAGATCATATACATATATATGTGTATATATATATATATATATATATATATATATATATATATATATATATATATATATATATATATATATATATATATATATATATATGGGAGCTGGACGTTTTCCAGAAAGAGACTTGACCTAATGCCGTTTGCTTGAAGGCCGATTTCCCGAATGGACACTTGCCTAAATGCGACAAATGCCCGAAAGCCACTGGCCCGAACATACATTCCTCTTATGAAATTATCTTAATCCTGTTTTAAACTTTAGCGCTTTTTCTTCCACATCTTTTGAATGTAAATATATTTTAACCGACATTCATTTGATTATTATTGAAAAAAGTGTTATTTTTAAAGAAAACTACACTATAAATGGTCAATTACGATTGAATTGTAAACATTATATAAAGCGGATACTATCATTTTCTGCTCAACAAGACTATGTATTCAGAATAATGGAAACAACCTTGCATAACAGAGTTATTGGTCCTGGATGCGAACAAAAAATATTTTATTTGGGGGGGGGGGGGGGGGGTGACACAAACCATTGCGGAGTTTTTCGCCGCATGTTGTCATGTCCAAGACCGTATCTGGCTTGTTGTCTCTAGACTCGGGTTACGCAACTGCGTCTGAGGGCCATCGATTATGGTATAGGGATTGTTCTGAGATAGATACAAGTTTTGATTATAAAATTTTTTTTTTTTTTTTTTAAATGTAAAACAAATATCAATTCATAATTAAATTAAAACCTATGCACTGAAGTTTTAAATGCATAAAATTATGAGATTTCAAAGAAATATATTTGAAGTATAGGCCTACTACTTCGATATTTTTTAATTAGAATCTATTACTTTATAAAAGGTCATCAACAATTTAAAGTGTCTAGTTTTGATAGTGTTCGATTACTAGGAAAAAAACTAAAATTGATCATGATAATTGAATATAAAATTTTAACTATGTTTTTACATTACAAAATTAAATCCTAACCTTGGTAAAACACACATGCAAAATGTGTACGTTTCTTTAAAATTTATATAGGGAGAGGTAGGGAATGCATAAACATTTGCTCTAGAAGTAACTATATATGTTTTCTAAGTTATAAACGCTAATTTCCTTGAACTTAACCAAAGTTCAAACGATAAAGCTTCACATATTTTTTGTATAGTAGTAGCTAGTTTAGAAAATGGTATCAAATAACTTCACCAATCTATAAAATGTATTGTATAGACTTCACTAGTCTAGAAAATGTTGAGTACAAACTTTACTATTCTAGAAAATGGCGTAATACAAACCTCACTACTCTCGAAAATGGTGTAGTACAAGCTTTACTAGTCTAGAAAATGGTTTAGTACAAACTTCACTATTCTAGAAAATGGTAAATTACAAATTTCCTTAGTCTAGAAAATGGTCTAGTACAAACTTCACTAGTCTAGAAAATGGTCTAGTTCAAACTTCACTAGTCCAGAAAATGCTGTAGTACAAACTTCACTAGTCCAGAAAATGGTGTAGTACACGGGTTCCCAACCTGGGGGTCGCGACCCCCAAGGGGGTCGCGAAGGTCTTTCTCGGGGGTCGCCAACTGGTATACTAAACCTTAGTAATTTGAAACAAAACATAAATATTTAGAAGAATTTTTGAAATTCGGCTTCATTAACATCACTGGAAATGTAATAGAGAAGAAACAAAGCGCACTGTACAAAGTTGTTCTCAGTCACGAATCTATGAAATCTTCAAAACTAAAACGTCATTTGAGACGAGTCATTCGGAACACACCAAAAAATATATGGAGTTCTTTCGTCGATAAGAAGCTAGTTGCAAACGCCAGAGACTTGATCGAACAGGAAGTTTTCACCAGCATTAGTGCAAGCATCAAATGAAGTCGCGATAGAAAATGCCATTAAAAAAACAATAGGAGAAAATCTCATCAAATGCTGCATGTACGTAAATATTAAATAACACATTTTTATTGAAATTAAGCTTTCATTTCACCATTGTTTGCTTTTCAAGATGATAAATCAACAGACATGAGTTTGTGTTCGCAGTTGCTGGTCTGTGTCTATATTCATGCGGATGATAGCAAAGATAAAAGAGTTGCTCTTTTGTGAAGATAGCATGGAGAAAATAAATATCTTTTTTGAAACTGGATGATTAAATTGGGTTAGAACGGCTGTGGGGGTTTGTACGGATGGTGCGCCATCTATGTTTAGCTCAAAATCGGGCTTTCAGAAAACAGAAAACATTTAGCTCCCTAACCACTGCCCTAACCAATCGACATCAAGAGTCCATTGCTAGAATAAGTCGTAAATTATATCAAATCTGGAGCCTTCAAAGAACTGAGCAAAAACATTAATATAGATCACGAGGTTCTGCTCTTCTACACTACAGTACGCTGGCTGTCAAACGAAATGTTGTAAATTGTGTTTTTGAATTGAAATCTGAAATCAAATTGTTCTTGGGAGTGCAAAGGAAACAAGACTTTTTGGTATACTTAAAACGACATAGAGTGGTTGGAGAGAGTATCAAACCTAGCAGATATGTTCGAACATCAAGATAAGCTTAATCTGAAGCTTCAGGAAAAATGAACGAATATTATAACTTTCCATGATAATCTCGGGGCATTTGTATCAAAGCTGCAAAATCGGTAAAGAAAACAAATCTTGGAAATATTGTAAATTTGAGAAACTCTGCGGTGTGGTAGATGAATCTGATTGTGAGATAATTAAAATTTTGAAAGAAGCGATTTCTGGGCATCTTGAATCTCTTGAAAACGAACTGTATCGCTATTTCTCTGAGCTGAAAAAAGAAGAATCTGCATTTACGCATTACCCATTCTCTTCTTCCCTTGATGTTGCCAGCATTCCCGATGAATTACAAGATGAATTCTTTGATTTGCAGAATGCTTCCGTGTAAGATGAAAAACTGCAGACACAATTTTGGTGTAGTATTCACCATTCATACCCAAACGTAAAATTGATTGACTTTTCGAGAATATATTTTCAACACTATTCTTCGATTAAAAACAAAATTAAGATAATTATAATGATATAGGTTGGCGTTAACAAATTTTTTTTTAAATTAAAAACTTAACCACGAAGGTTTAGTGAATAGTATGCAATTTTACTCATGTTATTAAAACAGTTATCAAGAGTAGTTCATATTGAAAGTCTACTAGAAAATCTTATTTTAGTGCTTATTAATTTCCATACTAATTTCGGCTTTTTAATTCTATGGGGGTCGCGGGTCACTTAATTTTTATAAAAGGGGGTCGCCACTCGAAAAAGGTTGGGAACCACTGGTGTAGTACAAACTTCACTAGTCCAGAAAATGGTGTAGTACAAACTTCCCAAAATAAAAACACCCAAATTTTCTCAAACAACGACCTATCAACAGACACCAGCAGCGCGTTTATTTGCTGGCAGATCGAAGCTGTGAACCACAGGACGATCCTACAGTCAGATGAACGTGAGACGATATTCTCGTGTAGCTCATGTTGTGTCTGGACGTTTTACCGTATTTCTTTCGTTATACGCCCAAGTTAGGTGTTTTTTTTACGTCATGTTTCTGCGTCGTAATAATAGACGATCACTTGAAACGTTGTTGTTGTAGGATAATGGAAGCTTTAAAGTAAAGTCACATTGACCCAGATTTTGACATTTATATATTTTTTTTTGGCTTAGCTCCATTTTGAATATTAGTTATAGCTACAGTTCAGTAGCGTACGCAGG